GTAGTGACCCCCATTTAAATCACGAGTCTCTAGCTGGATTTTCAAAGTTTAAAGAAGATTTATTAGGAGTAAACATGGTGGCGCTACCTGGGTGTAGCTGACTCTGAGACACATCATTCATGGTCACCCTTGACCCTGGTTTTCCCTCCACCCCTCTGGGTGTATCGTAATTCATATTCTCCAATGGGACACATCCATAGCCCAGAGTCATCAATCATACTCTCCAGGTAGAATTTTGCAGGGCAGAAACTTCAGTCACCTAGTTACTATCTTTGAAAACATTTATGGAATGCAGTTTCGGTTTTGCAAGCTGCTGCACTGCTCTCCCCCCCCTCCCTTTCTATTCTAAAAAACCAGAGAAATATTTTATGAGTTGACAGGTAGAATATTATAGTTCCCCTAAAAGAGAAATAGGAACCTTAAGGGAGACAGAAACTCAGAGCTTCAGCTCTCTGCCTCCAGCAGACATTTGGTGCCCATTGAGAAGGACTGGGCCAGCCTATCTACAAGACAAAAGACCTTCAGCTCCAGGGTGATGGGATTAAGACATGACCCTCCAGGTCAGGATGTAATAGGATTATTTAGCAGCAAGGCTCACTGCATTGCCAAATCTAAGGACACTGCAACAGCCCGCAAGGTTCAACCAAACGTATCTCAGACAAACGCCTAGGATTTGCACATAGCCCCATGGGAGTCTGACAGCATCCAATAGAATACATGTTCTTGCATAGGAACAGGAAGCTCAAGTTCAAAGCCCAAGAGAGGGCATAAAAAATACCTCCCTCTCTCTCTCTCTCTCAACTCCATGGGCTCAGCTGCCCAGGACCTCAAGCCCACGTGGTCCTGTTCAAGAATAAACCATCTTTCCAATCAGCCTCCATGTTTCCGATGTCTTTCTTCCCCACTTGGAACTGAACCAGATGGAGAGTTCTTCCAACAGAACCGAAAGCTTGTTTGGGGTGGACTACAGGAACGGCACTTTAAAACCAGGAAATAATCTTTAAAAATGGCTGTTTTGTCTTACAATATTGAGACTGTTTTGTCTTACAATATTACGGGTGGAATCTGGAGATCTTCTGAAATGATTTTCCATAAATTGTTTTACTTTATGGTGTTCTGAGGACATGGATATTTTATTTTTATTTTTATTATGTGTTTGTGCCTCCCTTTGGGAAGACACTCCTGCTAACACGCTTTAGATCTTTGTCTTTCGTGGTTCTTCTGCCTAAGAGGTTCAGTAATATCCAGAAGTCCCAAAGTTGCTTTTCAAAACACCTGGACTTTCGGGGGAGGGTTTCTTTGAAAATCTTTGACTTCTCATCCAAGAAGCTTCTTCTGTTCTTCATGACCTGCATTTCCATAGACCCTTATCCAGAAGGTTTATAGGTACATTCAGACAGTAACATGGAGACAATTGCGTGAGTCCTCGTGAAATGCCCTATTTACTATTCTTGGAGGACAGAGATAATCTCTCCTCGATGGGGATTGGATTTGCGGAGAGGGAGGAGGATTGTGTGGTTCTTGGTGATCTCGGTTGTTTTTTTTTCTAGATATTTCACTACCCAACTGGGGAACATCATCAGTGCTACAAAGGAGTGGTGGGGTTTGTGGAACAGAGGAGGAGGAGGAGGGGGCTTGTGTGGTCTTTGTTGCTCTCTGAGCTTGGTTCTTTCCCTTTTTAATATCTTTTTTTGTTTATTTTGGCCTGCAACTGTACATCCTTTGATGAATAAGTATCTTTATTGGCCATTCATGGTCCCTAGATTCTATAAGTATGTGTGGTCTTTTTTGTTCGTTGATGAAGATGATGGAACGGGGAAAGAAACTCTCTTGAGACTTGATCTTGGAAGAACCAAGGTTTGGAACCATTGGCGATGAAATATTGGAAACTGTAGGCAATCCTTTGGGTTTTGTTTTAAGGTAGACATAAGACAGAAACAGCCACTCCTTAACCTCTTCTGTTTCTAACTTTATATAAATACTAGCTGGATACCCATGCTTTGCTACGAAACTGTGTGATCGGACTTAGATTTGGGGGTGGAAAATAAGGGGAAAAAATTCTGCCTCTGCCTACCAACATCCATTGGTATTAATCTGGCTAGCGTCCTGTCAGTGTGTGAGAGAGTTGAGGGCTGTTTGGAAACTGAAGCAATATTTGCTGTGTGAGCAAGAATGAGACAGTAAGGAGCCTGGGTGTGGCTTAGCTCAACTGTTCTGTACTAAAGCTGGTTGCTGCTGTGAAACCGAAACTGAAGCTCCTTTGCTTGTGTTTTGCATTTGGAACAGATTTCTTTTGCAGGTGGGGAGGGGGAGTAGAACTCCTCAGCATCAGAGCATGTTAAATAATAATACAGGAAATAATAATAAATGCTCTGAGGGTCATTTTGAAAAATCCTTTCTTAGTGAGAACCTAGAAGCCAAGAGGAACCTGTGTGTCAAATTTCAAGTTTGTAGGCTTTATGGTTCTGGAGATTTTTTAATGATGCGTGAGTGGTATTTTGCTTTTATATATATATAGAATCACCTTCAAATCTAATTATTTGCTAGGTCTGCAGACCAGCACAAGCAAATGAAACTATGCCCCTCTGGTCCACGGAAAAATCTCTGGGAAAAGGTTGTGGGCCACTGTTGTAAGGTTTTACTAGGGGATTCTGAAGTTCTGATGAGAAGGGATAAAACGTGGGAAAGAAGGAGTAGCAAAGATGAAACAACCTTTACAAAAATAGATTTATTTCTTATTGAGCTCTGAGCTCTTATGAAAAGCCCAATAACAATGATGAAATTCTTGTTTTTTTTTCCTTCTCCAAGCTCGGGCAGCAATTGAAATTAGAAATCTGCAGCTCTCACACCAACATCCCATTTATTCGACGATTGGTCCATTTGGTTCGATTTGGAAAACGGAAGGAAAATCTGCCAAATGTTTTCCGTCCCTGCGTTTTTCATACGCATTTCTTAATCTCTGATGACAGACCGATCGTAAAAGTCCTTTAAATGTTATGGAACAGGAGCGAAGTTAAACTGTACAAATGTTTTGGAATTGATGTGTTTAGCATTTAAATGGCAGCCTTTTTTTTTTTTCAGATCGTTTGATGCCCATCTATGGATCATTTATTTCTATCTCTCTGGTCTGTTTTGAAAATATTTCCTTCAAATGAAAAAAGAAAACAGTTTGGCAAAACTTTAGGGAGGGGGAATTGTTGCCTTATTTGACCAAGATTTAATAATATCCTTTTCCTGGGATTCTTACCGATACCTGCTGAAGACAGGATATTATTTTAATCATTGATTTAATTTAGTACTGCGATATATATGTAGAGTCTCTCACTTCAGCCCAGCTCCTGGTGAGCTGAGTAATTACTTTAGGAGCAATGTGGAAATAGTTTTTACCTCTTTCTTCTGATTTTTTTTTGGGGGGGGACATTCTAGTTTGATATAACACTGAGGGTTTTTTGTTTTTTGTTTTAATCGTAATCTCCCTCCAAGAATTAACCAAGATTCTGCCAAGTCAAGGTAACGTTGGCTAGTTTAGATGAAGACAACTGCATGATATCCTGCCCACTTTTTCCAGTGGCCCTTGGCTGACCCCCAAGTGAGGAAGCTTCCTTCCACAATGAGCCAACCCTGCTTTGAACCTTGACAAAATGGCCATTGATCCTCAGGAGAACTTCTCTCAACCCGTCCTATGTTGACACCTGAATCAGAATCAGAATAGAGCTGGAAGGGACCTTGGAGGTCTTCTAGTCCAGCCCCCTGCTCAAGCAGGAGACCAGATTCCATTTCAGAAAAGTCACTGTCCAGTCTCTTCTTAAAAACCTCCAGTGATGAATTTTCAGGAGGCAACTGGACTTTCTTGGTTTTTTCTTTTGAAGGCGTTTCACTTCTCCTCCAAGAAGCTTCTTCAGCTCTGACTTGGATGGTGGGGAATGGAAGGATTTAAATTCCTCGCAAACAGCTGATCATTTGCATCCTTTTGGAGGGTCCTTGAGGCCACTTGGAGGTTTATCTGTGTCCTCAGGTGTGGTTCCTGTAGTCTGCAATTTTTCCTCTGGAATTCCATTCCTCCTCCCACACCATTCAAAGGGGATTCATCCCAAATTGTATAGCTAAAAGTCGGCCCTGTGATGCTTGAGAAAATAAATTGACCTTCTCCTCTTTGTGGCAGCCTCTCAAATACTGGATCACAGTGTCTCACCTTGTCCTTCTTTTCTCTAGACCAGCCAAACCCAAACCCTGCAACCATTCTTCTTCATCTGTTTTCGTCTCCAGGCCTTTAATCATCTTAGTTGCTCTTCTCTGCACTTTTTCCAAACTCTCAACATTTTATTTTTTATTTTTTATTTGGTAATGTGATGACTATTTTTTGGCAGCGTTAATTCAGCACCAGAAAAATAAACACAGATGGCTGAGGCTTCATTTAACATCTTTATTAACATAACAAGTAGATTTTACAAACCAGTTGTGGATTTCTCCAACGTGGAGCAAACTCAGACAGAAACACGTTGCAAGTGCAGAGAGCTTCAGCAGTGACTTCAACAGCTCAGAAACAGACACCAGTTTCACTTTACTTCAGCAGGCAAGCAGAGGAGAGAAACAGTTTCATTTCAATAGACAGACTCAAAGCTTAACTTAGCTGCAGAGCTTATAGTGCCATGCCTAGGCTACTTCTAGTTTCAGTTTCCAAACAGTCCTCATTGGCTGACTTATTCATTGGCTGACCTTGTTACCGAGCTTTATTCCAGTTCATGAATATACCCTGACAGTAACCAAAACTGGATGCAGGATTCCAGGTGCGGCCTTAACTAAGGCTTTATAAAGCGGTACTAATACTTCGCCTGATTTTAACTCTATGGCTCTATTTATACAACGAGGGATTGTATTCGCTTCGTTGGCTGCCGCTGCACGCTGCTGGCTCGTGTGTAAATGATCGTCCACTAAGACTCCAAGGTCTTTCTCACAGTTACTGTTTTTTTTAACCTGCTTTTGTTCCCATCATGTTCCAGGACACGGATATCTTGAACACAGCCATCCTCACTGGGAAGACGGTTGCTGTCCCCATCAAGGTGATTTCCGTGGAGGAAAACAACGTGGTGATGGATATCTCTGAATCGGTGGAATGCAAGTCTTCTGCTGAGGATGTGGTTAAAGTAAGTGATAGGATCATCAGCCTGGGGGGATATTTTATCCTTGGCTTTCGACGAGTTTAACAGGTTAATAGAGATGGAAGGGATCTTGTAGGTAGGGTGGTGCGGTGGCCAAGAAGTGGAGCTCTCGCCTCACAATCAGGAGGCTGTGGGTTCGATCCTAGGTAGAGGCGGATATTTCTTTCTCTGGGCACAACCTATCTGCTGAATAAAACTCCACATTGGCAACAGGAAGGGCATCTGGCCAATAAACACACGACTAGCTCCATTCGATTGCCCAGACTCCACTCTGCAAGAGATTATGGGGTCGTTAAAGGAAGATGATGATGAAGGGACCTTGTAGGTCATCTAGTCCAACCCCCCCCCCAAGCAGGAGACCCTACACCATTTCTGACAGATGGCAGTCCAGTCTCTTCTTGAAAGCCTCCAGTGATGAAATTCCCACAACTTCCAAAGGCAACTTCTGTTCCATGGGTTGATTGTTCTCACTGTCAGAAAATTCCTCCTTATTTCCAGGTTGAACCTCTCCTTGATCAGTTTCCATCCATTATTCCTTGTCTGACCTTTGAGTGCCTTGGAAAATAGCTTGACCCCCTTCTCCTCTAATGGCAGCCCCTCAAATATTGGAAGACTGCTCTCCTGTCTCCCCTGGTCCTTCTCTTCCCTAGACTAGCCAGGCCTAGTTCCTGCAACTGTTCATTGTATGTTTCATTCTCCAGTCTCCTAATCATCCTGGTTGCTCTTCTCTGCACTCTTTCTAGAGTCTCAACATCTTTTTTATAGTGTGGAGTTGAGTCTCTAACCTCTAGCTGTTAACCCCCAAGGTCAATTATGACCTTGTTGGATCAAGATGGTTTATTAATTCTTGTCCCATCTTTCTGGTCAAAGTTTACTTATTGGTGTTGCCTTTTCTTCTTCACTTGATATGCAAACAGCCAGAAACTTTCCTGACAGCATACCGAGTTCCCATTTTGGGGGGAATGTGTTGATGCTGTTGGTTTTATATAGATGCAAAGATGATCCGGAGAAAGATTTGAGCTTCAGTTCAGCAGTAAGGAATACCTGAGGTGAATTAAAGAGTTACGTTATAAAATAGCTGGGTTATTTGTATTCCAGATGAGAGCCCAACCTGAAATTGGATGTAATTAGAGCTTCTTGGAAATATCTCTGAAAAGTATTGAGGTAAACCATAGAGATAATATATGTAGCTCCAGCTATTAAAGAATCCCTGCTGGTTTTTATTGTGTCCATATTAATAATGCAATCAAACTTCCTTTGGCTCAAGGCAATTTCAGTTTTTGGCTGGCTGCCCTTGTCGACCAACCATTCAGATTTTCAGTTAAAGATACAGATTTCTGAAACCGACTTGAACTGACAGATATATTTTCCTTCATGATCTTCCTAATATGAATAGAAACAGGGCTGGCTGCTGGGGGTTCGCAGGGGCCATGGTGCAGGAGGACAACTAGACCACACCCACCATGACCACACCCACCCAGCAACCAGGCAGAGAACCCATTGCTAAAATTTTTGAAGGCCACCCCTCAATAGAAAGCCCCAAACTGTATGGCTACCGATTTATCTGTCTTTCTCTAATCTCAGAACTTCTTTCTGATGACACGATGTCTCTACCACATGTACGGTCCTTAGTCTATCAAAGATTACATCTCCACCTTGCTGAACTAGATCATAAAATCTTGACCTTACAGATACCAAAAGGTTAAAAAAAAACACCTCCTGAATCTTGTGTCAATTGAACCTAGAAATACTCTCGCAGCAAAGCAAGGGCTCTGCTTTGTTCCTTAGTGTTCCTCTGAGTTGTTTTTAGGTGACTTTCCCGTGGCGCCTTGAAATATTGTGCAGTCCATCTTCGATAAATAGAAATGTTTCCACAAAATGAACCCTAGAAAGAGCACAGAGAAGAGCAACAAAGATGATTAGGGGTTTAGCCACGTGCTGAATGATTGAAGGAACTGGGTATGCCTAGTCTAATGGAGTGGGGTGGAGTGGAGTGGAGTGGAGTGGAGTGGAGTGGAGTGGAGTGGAGTGGAGTGGAGTGGAGTAGAGTAGAGTAGAGTAGAGTAGAGTAGAGTAGAGTAGAATAGAATAGAGATTAGATTAGATTAGAGTAGAGTAGAGTAGAGTAGAGTAGAGTAGAGTAGAATAGAATAGAATAGAATAGAATAGAATAGAATAGAATAGAATAGAATAGAATAGAATAGAATAGAATAGAATAGAATAGAATAGAATAAGAGATAGAATGGAATGGAATGGAATGGAATGGAATGGAATGGAATGGAATGGAATGGAAGAGAAGAGAACTGGAAGGGACCTTGGAGGTCTTCTAGTCCAACCTTACTCAAGCAGGAGAACCTATACTATTTCAGATAAATGACTGTCTACCCTCTTCTTAAAAACCTCCAACGATGAAGCACCTACAACTTCTGTAGGCAATCCGTTCCACGGGTTAATTGTTCTCACTGTCAGGGAATTCCTCCTTAATTCCAGGTTGCTTCTCTCCTGGATTAGTTTCCATCCGTTGCTTCTTGTCCTGCCTTCAGGTGCTTTGGAGAAGAGCTTGACTCCCTCTTCTTTGGGGCAGGCCCTCAAATATTGTAACGCTGCTATCATGTCACCCCCAATTTTCTTTTCTTTATAGACTAGCCATACCCAAATCCTGCAGCTATCCTTCATATATCTTTTAGTCTCCAGGCCTAGAAAGCCTAGGGGTGTCATGATAGCAGCCTTCCAGTCCTCGAGGAGCTGCCACCAAGAAAAAAGGGGGTATCAGCTTCTTCTCCAAAGCACATGAGGGCAGGACAAGAAGTAACAAAGGGAAGATTATCCAAGGGGAATCCAATCGAGAGTTCAGGAGAAATTTCCTGACAGTGCAGGACAATTCATCAGCGGAACAACTTATCTCCAGAAGTTCTGGATGCTCCGTCCCTGGAGGTTTTGAAGAGCAGACTGGGCAACCATATGTTCAAAATGGGCACAAGGCTGGACTAGAAGATCTCCAAGGTTTCTTCCACCCCTATTATTCTATGTTTTCTGTGAAGATTTCATCCTATGATTATCCTACAGGAAATCAAACGAGACTGTCGTTTCCAGAAATCGACTGGATAGACTTGAAAAAAAAATGGGGAAGAGGACAGAATAACAGACAAATGGCTGTCCAATCTCTTCTTTAAAAACTTCAGGGATGAAGCACCCCAATTTATCATAACTTATGTTAATGTACCCAGATAATTATAGAACGTGGAATAACAGAGTTGGAAGAGACTCGGAGGTCTTTTAGTTGAATCCCCTGCTCAAGCAGGTAACCAGGGGTGGGATCAGTGGTGGTATTCGACTGGTTCAGCCTGGTTCTGCCGAGCCGATAGCACCGATGAGCAGCGGAGACCGAACCGCTTCTCTCCGCCGCTCTGCTGTTGGGCCCGCCCGCCTGCCCGGGCTCTCTGCTTTACCCTCTGCTTTTGAAGTGCAGCTGCTTTGTGCGGCACAGAAGAGTGCCGTATGGCAGCTGCTGAAGCAACTGGGAGAGTGCAGGCTTGCAGGAGGTAAGTCGGGATGCCTCTGCGCCTGTGCAAAGTGAGCATTTGGTGCATGTGCGCATGCCAAGTGTGCAAACGTGCGCGAAGCATGCCCACCAAGCCACACACCACTGAACTGGTGATCAAACTTTTGGAATCCCAGCCCTGGGTGATATATTCTACCGGTTCAGACCAGTTCAGTAGTTCCAGTAATCATTTGGCCGCTGCCCTTTTCCTGTGCTTTATTTCCTTGTTTTTGAGCACCGCTGATTTGCGCGGCAGAGCGGTTTGCCATGCATCCGCTGTTTTACTCACCGGGGCTGCAGCAGACGGTAAGTATTATAGCTTTAAAAATGGTCTTTTCTAAATGCTGTGCGCGCGCGCTCACATATCTGGTTGCTACACCAATTGAATCGCACCACTGCAGGTAACCCTAGATCATTCCAGACAAATGGTTGTCCAATCCCTTCTTAAAAGCCTCCAATGATGGCAACCAAACCTTCTGAAGGCAAGTTCGTTTCAACGATTAATTGTTCTCACTATCAGGAAGTTTCGTCTTAGTTCTAAATTGGCACCATCCTTCGCTCTCCTCAGAAATTTCAAGAAACATTAAAGGAAACCTGAAAATTATGGCTAGACAAGCCACGAGGCAGATCTGGAAGAATGAGATTTAATATTTTACACACCCTCCCTTGCTATACCTCTTGGTATACACTTCCAACAAAGTCTGGTCCATAAAACATATATATATCATTGAAAAGTTGGTTCTTGGCAATATAAGTGACACGCTTAAAAGTGTAACTGATGTTCCAAGATATTTAGCCAATTTTTTTTCCTCTCTCTCTCTCCTGGTTTGGATTATCAACAGCACTCGCCTTGTCTGAATTCTGAATTTACACTCTTCCTTGCAGTTATAAAAGTGCTCAATCTCCCATGGACAGGTCTAACCTTTTAAAAAGTGGACCAGAAATGGCACTAAAACATGAAGAATAGCTCTCTCTCTCTCTTTTTTTTTTTTTTTGCTGGCTCAGCATGATTCATCCAAGATGCTTTCTCGACGTCTGTTAATAATGAGGCTTCCATTCTGGACTTTGGGAATCTCTTCTCTTCCTGGAAACTGGGGAAAGGAGCCAGCTATTATTTATTTATTTATTTATTTTGCAAAACTTGAGGGAGGAAACAAATTACTTCCCTCTCCGGAACAGATTGCTCAGATTTGAAATAAGCCTTGCTTTGGCAGTCAAATTCCTTCTATTTATTTCGGTGTCTGTTCAAATTAAGTGAGTCGAGCATGTGCTAAGATTGGCAGCAAAGGAAGCCAACGGAGAAGTGACATATAATAAAGGGGGATATCTGTAGCTCAGGGTGGGCACGAGGCATCCTTGGTGGTCTCTTGAGTTGGGTGGTTTTCTCACAGACGTTTCATTACCCAACGAGGCAACTCCATCAGTGCTAGAAGGGAGAGAGAGGTTTGCAAAAAGAAGGAGGAGGACTGTGAGGTCCTGGACTAAGCTAGCACGGATGATGTGGGATTCAGCCGGTATGGACCGGTTCTGGTGAACCGGTTGTTCCAGTGATGAGTTGGCCCTGCCCACCCACCCCTGTGCTAGTCTGTCCTATATTTCCTTTGTTTGAAGAGTGGATTTCCACTTCTCCGCTGTTTTACTCCCCGGGGCTGCAGTAGAAGGTAAGTTTTAGAGCTCTTTTCAAACTCAGCATGTGTGTGTGCTTACCAAACCAGTTGTTACACCGGTTGAATCCCACCACTGGACGTTATCCATTTTGGCTAATGAAATGTTTCCAAGAAAACAACCAAGATTGAGGAGCCCCAAGGACCCTTATCCTCCTACCCCTCCTCAATTCTGCAACACCCACTCCCTTCTAGCACTGATGATATTTCCTAGTTGGGTCAGGAAACGTCTTCAAGAAACCACCAAGCTCAGAGAGCACCTACAATCCTACTTTCCTCCTCCTCCTCCTCCTCCCCCTCTTTCTCTTCTTCTTCCTTCTCTCCCTCTTCCTCCTCCTCCTCCTCCTCCTTCTTGCAAACCTCACTCCCTTCTAGCATTGATAATGTTATCTAGTTTGGATAATGAAATGTCTCCAAGAAAACAATCAAGCCCAGAGAGCACCAAGGACCCCTCAGATACATCTAGGTAAATCAACTTAGGACCATGGATCCTAAGGATCAGGACCATGTTAGGATTTTAAGGACAAAGATCTCTCTTTCTCTCTCTTTTTCCTGCAGGCCTCATTAAAGGCTAAAGACTGCTAATAAACCTGAGGAAGTTAGTAACATTCCACACTTTTTAGTATCTCCTCTAACGTCGATGCTGAGATAAAATATGTGCATATCTTTGGTAGGTTTCCACCTGACCTCCAGGTTCAGGAGTTGCTAAACTTGAAAGTTCGAGGACTTGATGCGCATAGATGTTTTGAATGTTGACTAGGATTGTAGAGGTTTAAAAATGGAAAAAATGGGTAAGAGAAATTACAGGGTACGATATTTAATTTAAGCCAGAAGCTTTTTTGACGGGGATGATTAAAGGAAACCCAAAGAAACATATCCAATACATCGTACAACATATATTAACAGCGGCAAGAATTGCCTATGCCCAAAGCTGGAAAATAGATGATGTACCTTCAGAAAATATGATAATAAATAATATATTTGATTGTGCTGAGATGGACAGACTGACGAGAAAACTGAAAGGGAAAGAAGAGTCGGAGTTCTATGAGATTTGGGAAATGTTAGATAAGAGAAACAAGGTTTGATATGGAGAAGAACTGTAAATATTGTATTTAAGAATATAAGTAACACTTGATACAGAACTGTTAAAATGTAAATTTTTATATGTATTTTGAAAATAAATAAAATTTAAAAAAAGGACTGTAGAGGTTTCGGGTGAAATTCCTGCTTCTGTTGAAGATCCATAGCAAGCTACATCCATCCTGCTTTCCATTGTATTAGAAGTCAATCAAATATCCCTTGATTCTTATGAGATTTTTCAATGGGCAAATGTCCCATGATCTTCAACCAATTATGAGATTTCCCAGTAGGGAAACATCCTGTGATCCCTGACTCTTATTAGATTTCTCCGTGAGTAAATGTCCCATAATCCTCAACTCTTATGAGATTTTCCAGTAGGCAAACATCCCATAATCCCCAATGCTTATCAGATTATTTAACCTCTTCCAAATGTTCCATGTTCCCAAAAATCTTGTCAAATGTCGGTGTTAACACATGAGATCTTGCGTGATTCCAGGCAAGAATGCAGGACCGGTGTGAGTTCCAGGCAACTTCCTGCAATGCTTCCACAAACCCCATGAGATCTCCTGTGATCTTGTGAGATCTCTAACTACTTTGAACTTTCGTTCTCACTCCTTTTTCTGACTGGGTTACAAAGGCACGGGGCCCCAAAACACCACCATCTTCTGAAAGGCGAGTTGACAGTGTGAATTGGCCACGACAAAAGACTTATTTTGACCTTAATTTTCTTTATTCCACCTTTATTTGTATTCTGCCCCTTTTACTTGTGATGAAAGCTGATTGCTAGAGAAGCGACAGATGTTGGATCTGATGTCTGGGAGCAATATTTTATTCCATATATCCAGGGTAGCAGGGAGCTTTCATGAGTTAATGGACCAAGGCTGATTCTGCCCTTGTTTCCCCAAAAGTAAAATCTCTTATTGCATTCTTACAACCTGAAGATTTATAGAGGGGATATTGTTTAATTAAGCACACATACTATTTATTTTATTTATTTTGTCAAGTGATCATAAGATAACAGGTATAAGTATAAACATAGTTATGAATACATGAAATGGATGCATATAAGAAAAATAAAAAGAAACAACAGGACAGGGACGGTAGGCACGTTGGTGCGCTTATGCACACCCCTTACAGACCTCTTAGGAAAGGGGTGAGGTCAATAGTAGACAGTTTAAGGTTAAAGTTTTGGGGGTTTGGAGAAGAAACCACAGAATCACTAGGAGGTGTTAGGGACGCGGTGGCTCAGTGGCTAAGACGCTGAGCTCGTTGATCAGAAAGGTCAGCAGTTCAGCAGTTTGAATCCCTAGCACCGCATAACAGAGTGAGCTCCCGTTACTTGTCCCGGCTTCTGCCAACCTAGCAGTTCGAAAGCAGGTAAAAAATGCAAGTAGCAAAATAGGGACTACTTTGGTGGGAAGGGAACAGTGTTCCTCCATGCACCTTTGCCATCGAGTCATGCCGGCCACATGACTTCAGAGACGTCTTCGGACAGTGCTGGCTCTTCTTCAGCTTTGTAACGGAAATGAACACCGCCCCCCTAGAGCCGGAAATTACTAGCATGTATTTGTGAGGGGAACTAGGAGGTGTTAGTTGCTACAGTGAAAAGGAACTGAATTATCAGACTTACAACATCCTTTGGGGGCTTATTCCCACCTTGCCAATGAGTGCTAAATTATGAGAAAAGGTGAATAGTTAAGAACCAGCCCATTTTAATCCTTTGTTCCTTGCACTTCATATTTGATTAATACCTTCTGTCAACTTGGTTTAGCAATGTAAGAGAAGTTGATTCCATCTCAATTTATACAAACTTGCCCAAAATCAACTTTCCAGAATTCTAAACGTCTATGGAGATTCTCAGTCATTCTGGTCATGGTATTCCCAAATACCGTGCTTTTTTTTCCCCCTCAAAAAACAACCGGACTTTGTTTTTCCTTGAAGACGTTTCACTTCTCATCCAAGAAGCTTCTTCGGTTCTGAGGGAGTGGCGGAAGATGGAAGGATTTATATTCCTTGCAGTCATCTGGTCATTAGTGCTCTTTCTGAGAGTTGTTGAGGCCACTTGGACAGATAAACCTCCACCACCATTCAGTCACAACCAAAGAAGCTTCTTGGATATGAAGCAAAACGTCTTTCAGGGAAAATAAAAAGTCCAGTTGTCTTTGAAAAAGCAGCTTTGGGACACCGGAATTCTATTATCATGGTTGCTTGCCCAATCAGCCAGATGTTTAGGCTAGATTTGGCATTTCTGTCCACCTATCAAATCCCTCCCATGTGCAGATGTTGTTATTTGATGGCGTTAAAGATGTTGTTGCAAGATGTAAGTCAGGCTGCCTTTCGCAATTGACTTATGGGGATTTTGTCAATGCCAATGATTGTCAAGGGATGCTCCAGAGGTTTCGCAGTTTTATGCAAGGCACCTTTTACTGCCGGTACCATCTTTGCAAACATCTTCCTATCCCAGGTCCTTGGGAAGGACTCCAAATCCAACTGCCAGTTCTTTAGCGAATGTTGGCCTTCATTCATATCAAGTTCTTCCCAAGAATCATGTATCAGCCTATTTCATCGTCAAGCAGTGATTAATAGTCACCCTTGTTATTGTTTCCCAAAGCAGCCCAACTATTTTTTCTTTTCCCTTTAGACGTTACAAATCCCCAGGACGTTTCCGTACAAAGAATAGAACACCCAGCCCAAAAAATCATTCTTTCTTTGACAGACCATTATCTCTTCTTTATGGTTGGTTTTATGCTGCTGAATTTTTCTTTTCATTTAACTTAAGGGCAGCCTCCCGTCTTCTCACTGCCAGCCTTGAACTGGATTTATTATTTACCATGTAAATATTGCCCCAGAATAGAAGCATACATTAGCATAGCCAATTTCAGAGAGAGACCCGTAATCGCTTCTTTAATCAGTGTTGGATTTTACAGACCACTGAGTTCCCTCTTCTGTTAACATGGCTGGGGACAAGCTGGCTGGTAGAGATAGATAATGGATAGATGGGTGGAAAGAGAGAGGATAGAGAGATACAGAGAGATGATACAGGGATGATAGATAGATGATAGATGATAGATAGATAGATAGATAGATAGATAGATAGATAGATAGATAGATACAGACAGACAGACAGACAGACAGACAGACAGACAGACATAATAGATCCTTGATGACAGATAAAAATTGAAAGAAACAAAATAACGTGATAGTAGATACATTAAACAGAGAGATGATAGAGATAAAGACAGATAGAGATAGATAGATAGATGATGATGGAGGATAGACAGGCAGTTGATAGATGATTGATAGATAAGTAGATGAAAGATAATAGAATGATAATGATATAGATATAGATAGCTGGATACAGTAGATGATGGATGGATAGATACTGTGGAT